TATATATATATATATAAAGGATTACTTTTAACAATGTCAATTGATTTGTACAAGTGATACACTGATACCCAATATAAACAAAACATAAAAATTATTAAAAAAAAATATTATTTAATGATTAAAATTAGCATTTTTATTAATTTATTTTCGTAAATCATTTATATATTAAGAAATAATTAAATATTGTGTTAATAATTCTTCAATACAGAAACATGGTAACTATATTTTCTTTAAAACGTAAAGAAAATGTATAAATTACATTAAAATGGGGTCTTATAAAGAGAGTAAATATGGATCAAACAAAAAGAATCTGAAGTATTGAATCTTTTTAAGAGTTGAAAAAAATGATTTTTCTTTTCATTCGAAGTTGAGAAATTACGTGTCAAATTTAAGTGGGCAAAAGAATTCGCAAAAAGAAAAAAAATAGTAAGAAGATTTACAAAGAAAGTCAAAAGAAACAAAATTATTTATTCTTTTTGTCAACAAGACTTAGGACTTGGGAGTAAAACAGGACTAACATGCAACCTAACTGCATATTTGACTGGCCTCAATATTATTATGAATCTGCTTTCCTTGTGAGATGACAACCATGTCCCAGTATTTGTAAGGTTGTTGACCAAAGTATTTGTAACGTTGAATTCCAACAAAACATCATGCATGGCATCCACGAAATTGTGGTTTTCTCAAGTTCATCAAAAGGTTCTATTGTACTAAAATTCTTCGCACATGTTGGTGTTATGTAACTAGGAATCTTTATTTAACTTACATTCACAATAACAAAGAATAAAATGCAAATTTAATAAAGCACATGTTGGTTATGTAACTAGGAAGATTTGTTTTAATTTACTTTCGTTCACAACAATAAAGTAAATTGAAAATTAATAATGCATTCCAATCATTTAGTTATCTAGGATTTTTAACAATTAGTTTTTTGTTTTCAACGGGTATTTGTCAATCCATAGAATATTGATTACATTATTGAGAATCATACAGTTGAAGAGTTTTTTTTTTACAAATATCATGAATCAAACACGAGATTTTTTATTAAATAAATTGTTCATGTAATAAATGAATGTAAATACCTAATTATTATGTCAACTCATTGTATTAGGGATTTATCTTAGTTTATTTTTATTTATCGATGTGATTTATGTAATATTCTAAAATTAATAATTAAAAATAAATTTATACTTATAAGATGTGTTTCGCTAGTAAGATCTAATTCAATTTTTTATATGTAAATTTATAATATTAATAGATTGCTTTTTCCAAAAATTTAATAATACTTTTGAGAATGACATTCCCTAAAAATATTATTACAGGAAACACTATTTCATCAATAAAAATGTTTAGTAAGTACTTATTATTCTTTAGAATTATTTTAAACTTTTTAATTAAATTCTCAAAAATATTATTAAATTCTTAAAAAAAGCAGTCAATCATTACAATAATTCACGTAAGTACTTATTATTCTTTAGAATGTTTTTAAATTTTTTATTAAAATAATAATAATATTTTATACTTAATAAGCTTTAAGTGA